AAAAAAAAAAAAAAGATTTAATTTTCTGAATGAGGCATTTTAAAGAAAATAAGTCTGGATGTACATTTGGGTGGCAGTGGCAGGAAAATCACTGGGAGTTTGAGGCCAGCTTGGGCTACATAGCAAATTCAAGGCAGCTTGAACTATATAGTGAAACTTTGTCTCAAAAACAAAACAAAAAAAATCGGGATGTAAAACTATTCAGGCTAATTTTTCATGTCAGTAAACAGGAGGAAACAGGAAATCTCTGACCTCCAGTAATAAGCCATTCAGGCTAAGTCCTTTTTTTGTGAGTAGGTCTATTTCTCATGGTAAGTGTGGCTTGAGCCACTCAAACACTAGTGAAAAGGGTGTGTGTAGCTCTGCAGCACTAGGCCAGGATGCTCCCTCACAAGTGGAGCAAGCGCTTTTCCAAGGCCTTGTTTCTGTCTCAAAATGCTTTCAGTGTTGATCATATGCGCTGGGTCTCCAGAGAAGTTTTTGTTAAAATACTGCTGCTTTGAGTTTTATTTTTCTTCGTTGTCTGAGAGGGAAATCACCAGCTTTGGCATTTTAACAACAAACATGGGAAATTTTATTTCTAACATCACCTTTAGAGTCAAATACACCTTTTCCTTGTGTTCCTTATGTGCAACCAAAGAACATTCATTATAAAAATCATATAATATCTGAAAATACGTTTTCCTCTAACAGGTGACTTTTATACAAAATGAAAAAAAAAACCCTAAACATTTTTGTTGTTATTTTGTGATTATAGCTATACCATTAGTAATAGTTATTAACAGGAGCTACTGACAAGTGCGAATGTGACTGTCTCATTCACATGTTTGTTGCTAGGATGCAGATTGATTCTGGTTTCAGCAGACGCTGGGTCCTTAAACTCTGTTGTAATACTTGTGTTAAGGTAAGCATAGCTGGAAACCCTGGAGTTTTGCTGCCAGCAGCTTTGCAGTTTGGGAAACAAAGAAACCAAAGCAGAATATTTTAAAGAATGACTGAATCTGGAAATGACACTCATCAAAGATGTAGTTTCTCTCAGTATTCTAATTTTAAAATTTTTTATCTGCATATTTGCATCAAATCCTTGTTTGTGTGCACAATGTATGTTTTACCTCCTTAAGATGCCTAAAGATTAGTTACTAGCCACTTTGATTTAATCTATACACAATGATTAAGTGCATTTAATATTGGTAATTTAATGAAAAGCATTCCTTGCCCAGTGGATGTATACATTTTTGGAAGAATAAAGCAGAATTATATAATATGAAATGCTATGTAAAGTTTTCTATGTAAAAATAATATGTATAATACTGTTAAAATATCCCAAGTGGGATATTAATAAAGCTTTGATCAGGTGGTAAATTAATAAAGTTTTAAAAACTAAAGTTGTTTATTTTTTCTTTTTTTTTTTTGTGGAACTGGGGATTAAACTCAGACCCTTGTGCTTGCCAGGCAAGCGCTTATTCTACTGAGCCATCTCCCTGGCCCCCTAAAGCTGTTTTTAATATAGTAATTGTACACCTCAAGCCAGTTTTCAGTTAACTCAAGTTCTCAGGGCAAACATGCTTGTAATTTTCAAAGAGTGATAAAATTTGGCCTCTGTATTTAACGAAAATAATTTTTCATAGAATATTGTTGTTTATTTACTTTTCTTCACAACTGGGGATTGAATTCAGGCCCTTGTGCTTGCCAGGCAAGCACTTATTCTCCTGAGCTATCTCCCCAGCCCCAAGAATATTAATTGTAAGTCTTAATTTTTTTATAAGAAATGTTTCCAATTTCCCAAAGATAAAAGGGAAAAATCAAGGTGTGATAAGATTCTTACACATCCCTTGAAACCACTTCACCTTATTAATTAATCTGACCAGGGTGAGCTCACAAGAGCGGTAATTTATTGCCACTGGTGCTGAGATGTGCAACTAGTCGGTGGGGACCCCGCTGGGCTCAGTGACCCAAGATCATTTATTTAAGCATTTTGTAAAGTAATTTCAGAATTATATTGCATTTGTATGCTGTAGAGAGAATGAAATATATTTCAGGCAAAAACACATTTTCTAGGTGGGTATAGTGGTACACCCCTGTAATCCCAGCACCCAGGAGGCTGAGGCAGGAGGATCTCCCAAAGTTTGAGGCCAGCCCGAGCTACATAATGAGTTAAAGGCCACCTTTAACTACATAGACCATTTCTTTTTTCTTTTTCTTTTTTTTTTTCCTTTTCTTTGTGGAACCGGGGATTGAACTCAGGCCCTTGCATTTGCCAGGCAAGCGCTTATCCTACTGAGCCATCTCCCCGGCTACATAGGCCATTTCTGAAAAACAAACATTTCTTCTGAGGATCAGAGTGGCTCTCTTTAACTTTCACAGACCTATGTTATGTGTCTGTTTTCAGCTTTCAGGAATTGTTAGAAACTCAAAGGTGGAGTGCTTAGTGTGCTTAAGG